CGCTACCACTTATGTCGGTATAATTTATGTCGCCCAGTGGTGTGAAAAAGCCACCTTCCTGAGCAACATAAGTCATACTGACTGAAGCACTGGTGTGGACAGCGCTATGTACTGGTGAGAGAGCTTCTCACACCAACATAGCTACCACCCCTCGTGGGGGCTGGAGTATGTTGGCTTTGAGCGGCTACATTAGAGAGCTTACAGCTGCACTGCTGTAAACTCTCTAATCTAGTGTAGCCGTAGCCAATTACAGAGTCTGAGGAAGCTAATGTAATTAATAATATCACTTTTTGTTTCCAAAGCTCTGTACAACTATAAAGTAATTCAGAATACTGTGTGTGGCGTGTAAGCATTATTGCCTTTTTTCAGATGGGGAACCAGAGATAGAAAGTATCAGAGGGGTAGCCGTGTTAGTCTGAATCTGTAAAAAGCAACAGAGGGTCCTGTGGCACCTTTGAGACTAACAGAAGTATTGGGAGCATAAGCTTTCGTGGGTAAGAACCTCACTTCTTCAGATGCAAGTCATCTTCTTCTTGCATCTGAAGAAGTGAGGTTCTTACCCACGAAAGCTTATGCTCCCAATACTTCTGTTAGTCTCAAAGGTGCCACAGGACCCTCTGTTGCTTTTTTCAGAGATAGAAAGAAATTACTTACTGTCGAGCTATGAGGAAGTCATTGGCAGAGCTGAGATTAAAAGTCAGGATTTCCTGACCCCCAATTCCTTCCTCTAGAGACTATTTGCTTGTTTTAGTAATAGAGTAAAGGCTCCTAACTAGTGGGACTTTTGGGGACATTATGTTGTGAGAGATCTTTCTTACAGTGTGCAATAAGCTCTCAAATACCACACACTGATTTCAAATATTTAAAGTCATTGATCACTGTTAGTTTGCTCCTAAATTTATTAGCTTCTTTATATTTGAACAATGACAGATCTTTTCTTTTACTTTTAGTTTAGCTACAGATATATGTTTCAGTTGTGACTGATTAGAACAAACAAACAGGAATTTGATGTCCTCTTTCCTTAAACATTTGTCTCAATTTCAAATTGAGGAGACTGGGAGGAAATGACTGATTTTGTTTACTGTATTTTTTGAGGTGCAAAACTTATTGTAAAACTAAATTAAGCTATTGCTAGCTTTGACACTGAGTAGCTTCAGGCTTCCCATAGGGTGAAATCAGATGGCTAGAATCTTTTTGAGGAATTTCCCCCAATTTCTTAAGAGCATTATTGAGGCACCGCATTTTATGTGTTAAACGTTCGAACCATTAAAAATGCCACATTAGTAACTGTACCGTGAAAATGCAAATGCAACTGGACTTGATCTTCCCTTTCTCCGGGTCTGTGATTGGCTGGATATTGTCAGTGTCTATGCTGGATGTTCAGGGCTAAAATTCCACCTTTGTTATTGCACAGTGTTTTGCCAGCTACCTGGGGCAGCAAGTTCTAGTGGTGACTGAAGGGATGCTGGGAAGGTTGATGGCTCAGATTTAACATATACAATATAATAGATTTAACAATATAATAGGAATATGTCTAGTGCCCAATTAGTCTTGGAAAATTTATCTACTGCTCTAAAATAAGCTTTGCAGCATCCGCTGCCTGGCAATCCTATGATAACAAGCACAATTGCACGTATGTGACATTCTTCTACTCTGGAGGAAGTGCCTGGGGGAGAAACTGTGGGAGAAGGAGGTCAGAGAGGTGCCAGTGAAAATATTTATAAAAAAAAAAAAAATGCTTTCAAAATTCTTTCTGGTGACTTCTAGTATGTTGGCTATTCAAACATTTTTAGTATTTTGATCCACAGTTTTGTTTCTGACGGTTGTGAGGTCATCTGAGTAAAAAGTTCTGAATTGTGTGTCATGATCAACTCTCTTCATAGCCAAGGAACTACCCAATAACAACCTACACTTTCATAGAGACTATTTTAATAGTCACTATTAAGGGATCTAGCTGTTTCTAATAGCAAGGAACAGTTATGAGACCATTTTTTCCCCTTTTTAATAAGCTATCTCCTGTATATGCACTGAAAATAAACAAACTCTTTACTTTTGCATAACACTTTTGGAAAGTTTCCGGTTCAGTCATAGCAATTTTTATTTACACAAACATTTCTGATTCATGCTTTGAAATATCCTCTTACTGGTTTTATTTACAATATGCACTGGCAGGCCTGCAAGCTGACAAAACATCTTTCAAACTGAACAAAAACAGATTTTGGACTGACCATATAGTCACAATATCATAATTAATTTGATCTATAGCTTTAATGGAAATTTTAATAGGTAGAAAACTATAAATGTGCCCATTATGCAGGTAAAACCCTTTTTGGACAACCCAAGCTAAGGAATGTCCAGTGTTTTACCTTGGATGGCTGGTCTTGAAGATAAATCTAGAGTGCTTCAGGAAGTGTTGCTGGTGGTCTCCCAAAAGGCTTCACTCTTCCTGTAAACCAGTTATCAGCTAATGATACAGCATTTTGAGGTCATCAGCTATTCCAGGGCACTGTTCCTGAGCATGGGTGTAGGGCAGAGGAAAAGAGTTCTAAGAGGGCATCTGGTTGGTGACCACTCCATCTTCCATAAAGTCAGTGGGAGTTTTTCTGTTAACTTCGATGATTATTGGATCAGGCCCCAGGTGCACAACCTTTCTTCAGAAGGAATCAAAGGATAACTTAAACACTCACAATTCCTTCAGACAGAGAGCTGCAGTATGATAAGCAGCCCCAGTGAGTTACATGGAGGTTGTATTGGCATTTTTATCCAAAGCCATTGGGCGGTGTGTGGCGGGGGGAACTCCCACCCATCTTATGAATAAGGATATGATGGAAAGTTATTTCCCAAGTGAATACTGAGGCATTTATCGCCGTTATCAACATGCAGAGATACAAAAGTTAAACTTTATTAAAATTCAGTTATCCTAACATCTTTTCATCTGAAAGTATTTGTGCCGCTTCTTTCACGCTGTTAGAAGAAAATTGTTCTTTGAAAGTTGACACTATACTCTGGAAAAAAACATGAGTTTGTTTTTACGTAGGATGGAAATCAAGTACAGCTTTAATTACTAGGAGACTAATAGTCTCTCCATAATAGTAGCTAGCATGTTAAGAACATAAGAATGGCCATACTGGGTCAGACCAAAGGTCCATCCAGCCCAGCATCCTGTCTGCTGACAGTGGCCACTGCCAGGTCCCCCAGAGGAAGTGAATCTAACAGGTAATGATCAAGTGATCTCTCTCCTGCCATCCATCTCCAGCCTTTGACAAACAGAGGCTAGGGACACCATTCCTTACCTATCCTGGCTAATAGCCATTAATGGACTTAACCTCCATGAATTTATCTAGTTCTCTTTTAAACGCTGTTATCGTGCTAGCCTTCACAACCTCCTCAGGCAAGGAGTTCCACAGATTGACTGTGTGCTGTGTGAAGAAGAACTTCCTTTTATTTGTTTTAAACCTGCTGCCCATTAATTTCATTTGGTGGCCCCTAGTTCTTCTATTATGGGAACAAGTAAATAACTTCTCCTTATTCACTTTTTCCACAGCACTCATGATTTTATATACCTCTATCATATCCCCTCTTAGTCTCCTCTTTTCCAAGCTGAAAAGTCCTAGCCTCTTTAATCTCTCCTCATATGGGACCCATTCCAAATCCCTAATCATTTTAGTTGCCCTTCTCTGACCCTGTTCTAATGCCAGTATATCTTTTTTGAGATGAGACCACATCTGTATGCAGTATTCAAGATGTGGGTGTACCATGGATTTATATAAGGGCAATAAGATATTCTCTGTCTTAGGCTAGGTCCACACTACCCGCCTGATTCGGCGGGTAGAGGTCGATCTTCTGGGATCGATTTATCGCGTCTCATCTGGACGCGATAAATCGATCCCAGAAGCGCTCCCCCGTCGACTGCGGAACTCCTGCTTGCCGAGAGGAGGAAGCGCTGTCGACGGGGGAGCTTGCCTGCGCTGCGTGGACCCGCAGTAAGTAAACTTAATTCAATCTAGGAAACGTCGACTTCAGCTACGCTATTCTCGTAGCTGAAGTTGCGTTTCCTAGATCGATCCCCCGCCCCAGTGTGGACCAAGTCTTATTCTCTATCCCTTTTTTAATGATTCCTAACATCCTGTTCGCTTTTTTGACTGCCGCTGCACACTGCGTGGACGTCTTCAGAGAACTATCCAGGATGACTCCAAGATCTCTTTCCTGATTAGTTGTAGCTAAATTAGCCCCCATAATATTGTATGTATATTTGGGGTTATTTTTTCTAATGTGCATTACTTTACATTTATCCAGATTAAATTTCATTTGCTATTTTGTTGCCCAATCACTTAGTTTTGTGAGATCTTTTTGAAGTTCTTCACAGTCTGCTTTTGTCTTAACTATCTTGAGCAGTTTAGTATCGTCTGCAAACTTTGCCACCTCACTGTTTACCCCTTTCTCCAGATCATTTATGAATAAGTTGAATAGGATTGGTCCTAGGACTGACCCTTGGGGAACACCACTAGTTACCCCTCTCCATTCTGAAAATTTACCATTTATTCCTGCCCTTTGTTCCCTTTTAACCAGTTCTCAATCCATGAAAGGATCTTCCCTCTTACTACGCTTAGGACATTTTTAAATCTAGTACAGTTTTACATGAGGTGGGGTAGTATTTTAAATAGACCGTATTAATTAGTTTGCCATCTGGCCTACTTTAAAATCTAGCAAAATATGATGTGGTTTTTAATACTTTTGTATAAATATTGATTAATAAATAGACGCTGTATCACTAGGGCCTATATTTAGTGATTTGTTAACACAGAACAATTATCAGCCAGCAAAGGGAGGGCAAGCTAACGCAAACTGTATTGGTAATTCTGGTGCAAAAGCCAGTGACTGATGAGGCACTATAACTTCATCTCTTTCTGCAAACACAGGAGGAAATAGTTGGTGAAATAACGAAGGATAAAGTGGGTATGAGAAACTTACTTTAAAAATTCCTAGCAGTATCTTACACTATGGAGAGTAAAAATGCCTAGTGTTTTTTGTAGTGGAAGCATTTGGCCTGGTCTACCTTACAAATTGGGGTTGGCATAGTTACAGCCCTTGTGGTGTTAAAAAATCCACACCCCTGAGCACTATCCTGCCCTAATTCTTGCTGTAGGAGCAGCTAAGCTGACAGAAGAATGCTTCTGTTGGCCTAGCTACCATCACTTAGGGAGGTGGAGTTCCTACAGTGATGGAAAAACATCTTCCGTTGCTGTAGTCTTATGTTTATACTACCAGGTTACAATGGCATAGCTACCCGGCCGTAGCTATACTGCTGTAGTGCAAACATGGCCTAATCCTGGTCTATACCGAAAATTTAGGTCGACCTAGCTGTGTTGCTCTGGGGCTTGAAAAATTCACACCCTCAAGAGATGTAGTTAGGCCAAACTACCTCCAGTTTAAATGCCATTGGGTTGATGGAAGAATCCTTCTATCGATCTAGCTTAGCTACCACTTCTCAGGGGGGTGGATTAACTACAGCAATGGAAATCCCCCTTCTGTTGCTATAGCAATTGTTTACACTATGGTGTTACAGCAGCACAGCTGTGCCACTGTAGCATCTGTAGTGTAGACATAGCCTAAGTCTTTTATTTAAGAAGCTGACCAAGCAGCAGGTATTTCTAAGGTTGCGTTGATTACCATTCTGTTTTCATATCACCTTTTCCAGAGAATAGAATAACCACTTCTGCGAAGTGTTACTCAACCACTGAGGTGGGGCAGAACTGCATGCCACCATTATATGCTGTGAACATCTGAGTAAGAATGGATGAGACATAAAACAGAGGTACTGACGACTTGTGTTCACTTGATTCATTGCCTTTCTTGTAAGTAAGAGTAAATGGTTTTAACCCCAGTGTCCTGCCCAAATAAGACTAATAGCATTCTGCTGACCTAAATTTCTCCTGTAGCTTTGACCGGTTCTGTTCCCGCCCCCACCCCCCTGGCTTTCCTATTCTAAATTGCTGTGGAGTGTTGGTATGTTCTAACTGTTTATGCCACTGGTGCAATCCGCTGAAGAGATGGCTGCAATTTAGTCCTATTCTTCCCATTACCAATCTTCCTATACCACGGTCCCCTATGCCAGGGCTCTGTGCAATCCCATCCTTCCTTCCTTCCCCTCCCCACTCGTGGGCTCCAGCCTGAGCCTGGACATCTACACTGCAATTTTATAGCCCTGTGAGCCTAACACAGGCCTGCTGCGGGTGTTTGACTGCAGTGTACCCTGAGGCAAAAAATTGCCCCTTTCTCAGAGGCGAGACAAGGCCTGGGAGTATCAGTACTCTTGTTTTGAGAGCGAGCACGGCACTCAGTTCACCTTCTTGGGCTGTGGGGCACTTATGCAGCTGGCTGTTACTTGCTGCTGTGCAATAGTTAAGGCTGCATCAGTGTGTTAAGTTTTATGAAAGCATGTTTGTTTGCATTTTGCTTGAATGTAAAGATGAACTTTGAGCTGAAACTTGCACAGGAACATTCCTTTCTGCCTCTCCTTCAGTGGTCCCAACAGGAGTTCATTTTTAATGTTTGGCCCCTTAATGGAGAGCAAACTTCTTTTCTTTTCTGGGTGTGTGTGGTGGTCTAACTGAACTTGAAATTGAAAATTTCCATGCATTTTATTCTTAGTCCATAATGTAGCCTAGAACCAGTGTTAATTTTATAGTGTAGGGGAGGAGGATGGCTTTTTTAGTTTTCTCTTGTTGGTTAACAGTCACTGCCTACCCTCCGCAACAATATTATTACATATTTGAGAGCTAGAGCCTAACAGGAAAACTAAGGTATTAAATCTGTAATGCTGATAGGTTTACTTCATGCTGTTATATTTAGTTAATCTTAGAGGGTTGAGAAACTAATTCTCTTTAATTTATGCAATACATTTCTAGATAGAAGTGGATGAGTTAAGAGTGAAATGACAGTCATAACTAAGAACATCACTGTGCTTGTTGGTTTGCAGCTTAACTAGAGATGGTTGAAAAATGGTATTTCTGTCCTGCAGGAAATTCAGAGACTTTGAAATTCCCAAAGTGGGACAAAAAGTTAATCTCTGATTTTTTGTTTTTGTTTTTTTTGTTTTTCAACAAATGGAATATTCTGAAAAATGTAGTTTTAACCTTTATTATTTTGACAAGCTCAAAACATTCTTATATAATATATACATATTTCAATAATTTCCCATAACGAATTTTGAAATCATATGTTCCTGCAGAATGTTTTGATTCTGTTTGGAAATGGCATTTTCCAACTGAAAACTGCTGTCACAACTTTTTTCAGCCAGTTCTAATTGTAACGCTATGAATGCATGTGTTTTTGTTGTATATTTACAGGTTATCCCAAGTTTTTCAAACACTTGAGCTGTCTCAGCACTGTTGACAAAGCTAAGATGGCTGTAAACTCAGTAAGTAGTTAAATATTCAATTTTATTTTCTGTGGGTAGCAGCCTACTGAGTAATGAATTAATAATCAGGTTAATTAAAAGTGGACATAGGTATACATGACTTTATTTTTTTTAAAAAGTTTCTTGACTTTAGTTTCCTAATCTATAAAATGGGGAAAATACTTGCCTGCATCACAGGGTATTGTGGGGATGAATGAACTAATGCTTCAAGTCTCTGATATCACAGTGATAGATGTAGTTTATGAATCTAGCACTCTGCCATTCTTGGAGGGTACTATGAGAATACAAACCTACCTATCATACAATTACAGTAGAACTTTGTTAATTTACATTAATCATTGGGTGACCAGTTATTGATTACTATCCTATGGCTAGAAGGAGAAAAAATACACAACATAAAGTATTCTGCATGACAAGATATACCTTGCTGATTATAATGAGTAGTTTTCATTATAATTCAGAATGTAATGGTATTTGTTCTATAGTGTATTTGGTAAAAGTAATGAAGTATTAGCAGAGTGCTGTAGTGAGATCTGATAATTAGCACTGAAGCGACGCTGTCAACTGGAAAATCAAATTTATCACTGAAAAATTTGCACCTAACATAGTAACTACCCCCTAAATTCTTACAGCTGAAATATGTTATCAGAAAAAAAAAATGCGCAATTTTTCCAGATTTGTTTTTTATTTTCACTGGGTTTTTTTCAATAAAAGAGAAACTAACTGTGCAGAAGAGACTCTTAAGGAAGCAAAAAAAAAAATTCTTTTTATAAAGAAATTTGAAATCTAAATTTAAAACATATTTAGAGGGTGATGTGATCTATTGGAAGCTAGTTGTATTTTCTTTTTAAATTAATCCCTCAGTTGAATGTGTCTAAGGGCTGGTCCACACTACCCGCCTAATTCGGCGGGTAGAGATCGATCTTCTGGGATCGATTTATCGCGTCTCATCTGGACGCGATAGATAGATCCCAGAAGCGCTCCCCCGTTGACTGCGGAACTCCTGCTCGCCGAGAGGAGGAAGCGCTGTCGACGGGGGAGCCTGCCTGCGCCGCGCGGACCCGAAGTAAGTACTTTTAGTTCGATATAGGAAACGTCGACTTCAGCTACGCTATTCTCGTAGCTGAAGTTGCGTTTCCTATATCGATCCCCCGCCCCAGTGTGGACCAGCCCTAAGGGTATGTCTACACTACGAGAGTAGATCGATTTTACTTAAAGCGAATTTGTGGAACCGATATTACAAAGTCGAACGTGTGTATCCACACTAAGGACAGTAATTCGACTTTGTGAGTCCACACTAACGGGGCAAGCGTCGACATTGGAAGCGGTGCACTGTGGGTAGCTATCCCACAGTTCCCGCAGTCCCCGCTGCCCATTGGAATTCTGGGTCGAGCCCCCAATGCCTGCTGGGGCAAAAAAATGTGTCGAGGGTGGTTTTGGGTAACTGTCGTCATCCAACCGTCACTCCCGCCCTCCCTCCGTGAAAGCGCCGGCGGGCAATCAGTTCGCGCACTTTTCTGGTGATTGACAGCGCGGACGCCACAGCACCGCGAGCATGGAGCCCGCTGCGATCATCGCTGCAGTTATGGCCGTTGTCAACACCTCGCGCCTTATCATCCACCTTTTTCAGAGGCAGATGTTGAGAAATCGGGCGAGGAGGCTACGGCAGCGCGGTGAGAACATTAAGTCTGAGAGGGGCACAGACCTCTCTCAAAGCACGGGACCCCGCGCCGTGGACATCATGGTGGCAATGGGTCATGTTGATGCTGTGGAACGGCGATTCTGGGCCCGGGAAACAAGCATGGGCTGGTGGGACCGCATAGTGCTGCAGGTCTGGGATGAATCACAGTGGCTGCGAAACTTTCGGATGCGTAAGGGAACTTTCCTGGAACTTTGTGAGTTGCTGTCCCCTGCCCTGAAGCGCAAGGACACCCGGATGCGAGCAGCCCTGACTGTCCAGAAGCGAGTGGCCTTAGCCCTCTGGAAGCTTGCAACGCCAGACAGCTACCGGTCAGTCGCCAATCAATTTGGAGTGGGCAAATCTACCGTGGGGGTTGCTGTGATGCAAGTAGCCAGCGCAATCTTTGAGCTACTGCTCTCAAAGGTAGTGACCCTGGGAAACGTGCAGGTGATCATAGATGGCTTCGCTGCGATGGGATTCCCAAACTGCGGTGGGGCTATAGATGGAACTCACATCCCTATCCTGGGACCGGACCACCAGGCCAGCCAGTACATTAACCAAAAGGGCTACTTTTCAATGGTGCTGCAAGCACTGGTGGACCATAGGGGACGTTTTACCAACATCAACGTCGGATGGCCGGGCAAGGTTCATGACGCTCGCGTTTTCAGGAACTCTGGTCTGTTTAGATGGCTGCAGGAAGGTATTTACTTCCCGGACCACAAAATAACTGTTGGGGATGTGGAGATGCCTATAGTGATCCTCGGGGACCCAGCCTACCCGCTAATGCCCTGGCTCATGAAGCCCTATACAGGCGCCCTGGACAGTGAAAAAGAACTCTTCAACTACCGGCTGAGCAAGTGCAGAATGGTGGTGGAGTGTGCTTTTGGATGTCTGAAGGGGAGATGGAGAAGCTTACTGACTCGCTCTGATCTCAGCGAAACCAATATCCCCATTGTTATTGCAGCTTGCTGTGTGCTCCACAATCTCTGTGAGAGCAAGGGGGAGACCTTTATGGCGGGGTGGGAGGTTGAGGCAAATTGCCTGGCTGCTGATTACGCCCAGCCAGACAGCCGGGCGATTAGAAGAGCCCAGCGGGACACGCTGTGCATCCGGGAAGCTTTGAAAGCTAGGTTCCAGAGTGACCAGGGTAACCTGTGACTATTACGTTTGTTTAAACAGAAGCTGAACCTGCCCCCGTTTCTTTACCCAGTTAATGTTGACTATCCTCTCCAGTTACCAACCCCCTTCCCCCCCTTCCAACACACCTTTAAAAATAAAATCAATGAAACTTTGTTCATTAACACCGTTTTCTTTATTAAGGATTTCGCGGTAAAGGGTTGAAACTGGGACGCAGACTGTGGTGGGGAGCGGGTATAGTGATGGAAAGGACGCTTCTAAACTCGAGGAATGACAGGCTCCTGCTCCTAGAGTGGTCCGCAGTCGTGGACTGGTTGTTTCAACGGAGCCTGCCACCCCTCCTTTTCGGGACTCTGTGTGGGGGGGCTATGTGACTTTGTGGCGGGGGTGGGCGGTTACAGATCCCCTGCTGCGTGGCTCTGTCATCCAGGCTAAGGACCGCTGCATAAGATCTGTAACCGCCCTCCCCCGCCACAAACTCACATAGCCCCCCCACACAGAACATGAAAACCACCTCCCAGACTGACCAGTGTGCCTAGTGACTGCAATGTGTGTGTGACCTTCTGCTGAACCTGCCCCCGTGTCTGTACCCTGGTAAAGGTGACTGTGCTCTCCAATTACCAACCCCCTTCCCCCCCCCCCCTTCAAACACACTCTCCTCTAAAAGAACATGACGGAAACAGTAATTAACAGAAATGTATTTTTTATTAAGAACTACACAGTTAGGGGATGAAACTGGGACGGGGGCTTGGGTGAGGTGCATTTGGAGGGAAGGAAAGGACGTATCAAATCTTTGGGAATGAGAGCCTTCTGCAATGTGAGCAGTCTGCAGGGGTGGAGTGACTGTTTTCATGGCCCCTGCCGCCCCTCCTTCTTGGGACTTTGGGTGAGGGGGGGATGGGACTTTGTGGCGGGCGAGGGCGGTTAGAGATAGAATGCAGCGGGGCTCTGTCCTCCTGCCTCCGGTCCTGCAGAACATCTACAAGGTGCCGGAGCATGTCCGTTTGCTCCCTCATTAGTCCAAGCAGCGTTTGAGTCGCCTGCTGGTCTTCCTGCCGCCACCTGTCCTCCCGTTCGCTGTGTGATCGCTGGTATTGCGACATGTTCTCCCTCCACTGGGTCTGCTGTGCCGCCTCGGCTCGGGAACAGACCATAAGTTCTGAGAACATCTCATCCCCTGTCCTTTTCTTTCAGCGCCTGATCTGCGCCAGCCTCTGGGAGGGGGATGCCGGGGTAGCTCGGGAGACACTCGCAGCTGTGGGATGGGAAAAAGGGAGTGAATTCCTCAAAAAGATACATTTTTGCAAACAATGAATATAGTCTTTCTCTGTGAACAAGACCATGCACAGTACCTATCACGTGCACTCAGTACAAGGTCGAATTTTCTGTCTTCACCTTGAGTGCCTGGGGTCTTGCTGTACAGATCACACAAGCGGGGCCGGACAACGGAATTCTGCTAGCAGCCGGCCATGGTAAGCCGTAGACTTTTGGCTGCTTAAAGCTTAATTTACATCTGTGCCCTCCTTTCACGTTCCAAGCAATGCTCCTAGCATTGGCCAGTTCCTGCTGCCGGCGATCTGGCCGGCATGAACTCTACCCCTGTCCCACCCCCATCGCGGCTGTCCCCGGGAAAGATCCCTGCATGCTGCCGGTGAACCACTCAGCAGGAACGGTTCGCCTCCCCGCCCCCACCACGTGGCTGGGCTCGGGAAAGATCCCTGCACGCTGCCGGCGATCCGGCTGGCATGAACTCTGCCCCTGTCCCACCCCCGTCGCGGCTGTCCCCGGGAAAGATCCCTGCATGCTGCCGACGAACCGCTCAGCAGGCAAGGTTCGCCTCCCCGCCCCCACCGCGTGGCTGTCCCCGGGAAAGATCCCTGCACGCTGCCGGCGAACCGCTCAGCATGAACGGTTCGCCTCCCCGCCCACACCGCGTGGCTGTAAACCGCTGGTTACAGTTATTTAAAGGAACAGGCAATCAGTCCCCATACTAAAATTCCCCTAATTCAAAGCAGGTCACCATGAGTGATATCACTCTGATGAGGATTATGGAGGCAGAGAAAGACCGCATGCTGCGTGAATGCCAGCAAACACCAGGGCCGTATGCCGCCATGCTTTGCCAGGCAATGATCCCGGAGTACCTGCTGCTAGCCTGGCGCGGAAAAGTTTCCTACCATGGAGGAGGCAATAAGGCCGCTCTCCCCAGGAACCTGATGCAAAGGCTTTCACATTACCTCCAGGAGAGCTTTGTGGAGATGTCCCAGGAGGATTTCTACTCTATCCCCAGACATGTTAACAGACTTTTCCAGTAGCTGCACTGGCAAGGACTAGAAAGATAAGCGCCTAGGGCAAACTAATCATTAAAAACCCATTGCTAACATACCATGCCTATTCTATTCAAAATAAATGTTTAAAACACTGATGTTTCCCCTGATTCACGGTCCGGGTTACCGCCTTGGGAGGGTTGGTAGGGGATCTCCGTGAGGGTGATGAAGAGATCCTGGCTGTCGGGAAAATCAGCGTTGAAAGCGCTGTCGACTTCCTCGTCCTCCTCATCTCCTTCCTCATCTTCCCCATCCGCGAACAGCTCCGAGGAAGCGGCCGTCGACAATACCCCATCGTCAGAGTCCACGGACAGTGGTGGGGTAGTGGTGGCGGCCGCACCTAGAATGGAATGCAGTGCCTCGTAGAAACGGCATGTCTGGGGCTGAGATCCGGAGCGTCCGTTTGACTCTTTGGTCTTCTGGTACGCTTGTCTCAGCTCCTTGATCTTCACGCGGCACTGCGTTGCATCCCGGCTGTATCCTCTCTCCGTCATGGCTTTTGAGATCTTCTCGTAGATCTTCGCATTCCGTCTTTTCGATCGCAGCTCCGAAAGCACGGACTCATCGCCCCACACAGCGATCAGATCTAAGACTTCCCGATCAGTCCATGCTGGGGCCCTCTTTCTATTCAGTGATTGCATGGTCACCTCTGCTGGAGAGCTCTGCATCGTTGCCAGTGCTGCTGAGCTCGCCACGATGTCCAAACAGGAAATGAGATTCAAACTGGCCAGACAGGAAAAGGAATTCAAATTTTCCCGGGGCTTTTACTGTGTGGCTGGTCAGAGCATCCGAGCTCGGACTGCTGTCCAGAGCGTCAACAGAGTGGTGCACTGTGGGATAGCTCCCGGAGCTATTAGCGTCGAATTCCGTACACACTAACCCTAATTCGACATGGCCATGTCGAATTTAGCGCTACTCCCCTCGTCGGGGAGGAGTACAGAAATCGATTTAAAGAGACCTCTATGTCAAACTAAATAGCTTCATTGTGTGGACGGGTGCAGGGTTAATTTGAAATAACGCTGCTAAATTCGACATAACCTCCTAGTTAGACCAGGCCTAAGCCTCTCACTCCACTTCTCAGGAGACTTTGTATATCTATTTTTTGTGTGTGTGAGTGTAATGAATTTATGAATGAGTGCAATGAGAATTAGTGGGCTTTTACTGTATTTACATGTGACACTTAATGTTTTTTTAGAAATGATTATATTGTTCTAACTTTGCAATATGAATGTTTTTTCCCACCTTCACCTCAATTTTGCTATTTAGGAGCTACCACCATACTATGAAAATCATGGTTATCAGCCAGAAAACGTCTATATTTCCAGACAGCCTGTGGATTCTAACGTGTATCCACAGTACCCTCCTCCATATTATCCTCCGTCAGTGCCACATTATGTCCCAAGAGTTCCTGTTCATCAGTCAGCTCCCCCAGTAGTACAGCCAAAGCCTCCATCAGCGAAAATGTGCACATCAGGTAAGATTTGTCTGGTTTTCTTTTTATGTAGATTGATTACAGTCTGGCATATGTTTAACAGATGAAACTTGTTTCCTTTCAAGCTCTTATGTTGAGGGACTATCCCAGGAGTACCTCTTTGTCCCTGAGAGTGCTAGGTAGCCAAACAAGTCAATTACTATTATACTTTTTTGTAAAAGGTGTGAGGAGTTGGGTGGTTCTTTGAAGTGATGATGAGATAGGGAGACTCTGTAACATCTGAATTGCAGATTCACGCCTGCTTAGTAGTGATTGAAAACTGTCCATCTAAGGGCATGTCTTCACTAGCAATGTTAAAACGCTGGCTTTAACACCAGGGCATAGCACTGGGAGAGCTCTCTCCCAGTGCTATAAAAACCCCACCTCCGCGAGGGGAATAGCTCCCAGCGCTGGGAGCGCGGTTCCCAGTGTTGGGGCACTGTCTACACTGGCGCTTTACAGCACTGAAACTTGCAGTGCTCAGGGGGGTGTTTTTTCACACCCCTGAGCGAGAAAGTTGCAGCGCTGTAAAGTGCCAGTGTAGACAAGCCCTAGGTTTACTTGCAGGGAGATATGGATAGAGGCTAGCCTAGTAAAATAATTTGTTTGCAAACCTAACTCTTCTTTTTCTCCCTTTTTAATTACAGAAGTTAAGAAAGCTCTATGCATCATTTTATCTGTTGCAATAATACTATCGGGTGCCATAACTGCAGCTGTCCTTATCTGGTATTTTGGTAAGAATGTGTTGTTTGTGTTGATAGAAATCTTTTATTCAAAGCTAAAATGTCTTGAGATTTTCCATTTCCCAACATAAGTGTGTCATCTTCCAGAAGGGTAAGTTAGAACAAGAATTTCCTGTTCTAAATCTCTTTTATGAATGCAACTTATTTTAATATCTAAAAGCTTAATTATTTGTCATAACCAGTGTCACTGTTGCTGTTGTCCTTTCCTTTAACTTCAAATATATTTACATTTGATAAGTGTCCTTGACTCAGCAGCACCCTCTTATTCATCTGAATTCTCTGAGATCCCACAAACTGTTTAGCAACAGTTGGTCTAGGACAAGCTTTTGTACAACTATTTTAGTAATGTGATATCAAAGTATAACTGTGCCTCAGTGGGTCACAACTGAGGATGCCAAATTCAGGACGAACTGCTGAGAAATAGGGCAGATATACCCCAAGACTGGTGGCTAATCCCCCGTAGGATTTACCAATCCAGCAACAAAAGTAAACTTCTGTTTCACCACACTGGCTCACAGGAAGTCATAAAAGCAGTTTCCTTGGGCATTCCAGTTCTTATGTCACCACCAAAAACACTGGATTTAAAAGAGAGTGGTTCTTTACAACCAGTCTCATCAAATAAAGGGTTCTTCTGATCCCAAAGGACCAGCCACACACCCAGGTCAATATACAACTTAGATCTTACCCAAAAATCGTGCTGATGCCAATCCTTTAGTATCTAAAATCTAAAGGTTTATTCATAGAAAGAAAGAAAGGTGAGAGTTAAAATTGGTTAGAGGAATCAAATACATACAGTAATTGCAAAGTTCTTGCTTCAGGCTTGTAGCAGTGATGGAATAAACTTCTGTCTTGATAAGTCTTTGGTTGCTTCCAAATCATTGGAAGGTCCTCAGTCCCTTGGTTAGAATGCTCCCATTAGTATAAGTTCATAGTCCAGAGGCTTGAGCAAGAAAGAGGCTGGAGCAGGATAGAAGCAAAATGGGCCTTTTATAGCTTCTACCATGTGGAGGGAATCCCATTGTTCTTACTGTGGAAAATTAGAGCAACAAGATGGAGTTTGGAGTCACATGGGCAAGTCCCATGTCCATGCATTTTGCCTAGTCGCATCAGGAAATTCCATTAAGTGTAGATAGGCATCTCCCATGGTCCATTGTCAGTTGAACGTTCTTTTGATGGGCCACTCAATTTGAATAGTCCCTCCAAGATGTGCTGGCTAGCTACCTTGTGGGCATTACCCCAGGAGCAAACATTTCAAATCCAGGTATAGAGCCAATACTCATAACTTCAAATACAAAAATGATACATGTATACAAATAGCAGAATTATAGTCAGTGAGTCATAACCTTTCCACAGACACCTCACTTGATAACTTTATACAAGATTTGTTGCAAATATATAACAGTGGTTACAACAATGATCTATATGGTCATATTTTAATCAGATAATGTCACACTAGGATTAAGAGTGCAGTTTGCCCCAGAATAAAGGGCTTTTATAAGGTCTAAGTGACACTGGGCATAGAAGTTTTAAGTTATACGGTTTCCCCCTAACTGCAACCCTGAAGGGAAGTGAAGGGAAAGGGAAGAAAGGAAGGATCGGGTATGTGTAGACATATTAGGCCTGACTAATTTTTCACAAGTGCTTCATAGAACTGATTGGAGCACTTCATTGCCATGAAATATGCTGTTTTGTCAAAGCTGAAATGTTTTGTGGAGATGTATTGGTTTTCACTAAACTTTTGAAGGGAAGGTTTTTGGGTCTGGGGCAGAGGCAGATAGTTGGAGGTGCAGACACACCCAACACCACTTCCTATGTCAAAAGTGAACGCATTTCCTTAAAATTTCGGCAAATTGAATAGACCAGGGGTGGCCAACCTGTGGCTCTTCAGAAGTTAATATGTGGCTCCTTGTGTAGGCACCGACTCTGTGGCTGGAGCTACAGGTGCCAACTTTCCAATGTGCCGGGGGTGCTCACTGCTCAATCCCTGGCTCAGCCACAGGCCCTGGCCCCACTCCACCCCTTCCTGCCCCCTCCCCTGAGCCTGCCGTGCCCTCGCTCCTCCCCCCAGAGCCTCCTGCACGCCACGAAACAGCTGATTGGGAGGTGTAGGGAGGGAGGGGGGAGGCACTAATCGGCAGGGCTGCCGGTGGACGGGAGGCGCTGGGAGCGGGGCGGGGGAGCTGATGGGGGGCTGCTGACGTATTACTGTGGCTCTTCGGCAATGTACATTGGTAAATTCTGGCTCCTTCTCAGGCTCAGGTTGGCCACCTCTGGAATAGATCTCCTCTAGTCCACTCTGGTGCTAAACACCAGCAGCTCCCACTTGCTTCAAGTGGAGCCGGGAGAACTCATCAGCTCTTTAAAAAATATAAAATAAAATCAGACCCTCTATTTAATCTTCTAATATTAGAGCTGGTTCAAATAGTTTAATTGAAGCATTTTTTCAGCGAAGAAACTGATTTCCACTAAAACACAAATGTTCATTTTGGTAGAAGTTTTCTGGTGGGAAGAACTGGAAAAACTTGCAGTTTTCTGGGGCTTTTTGCCCTCTCTTCTTTTTCCTCCCCACACCGTGTGTGTGTGTGTGTGTGTGTGTGTGTGTGTGTGTGTGTGTGTGTGTGCGCGCGCGCGCGTGTGTGATGGTGGTAGTGGAAGGAACAAGTGTGAAGAAGAGTGAGGGGAAGAATTCAAAAAAGAGAATATTTCAACTCTCAAACTGGAAGACCAAAGAATTCTGGCATTGGGTATAGGAGAGGGAAAAAACGTGACACCGCACGCCCCCTCCCCAAGTTTGAAGTTTTTAATAGAGGAAAATATAGCACTTTTTGACCGGTTTTAATGAACATATACCAAAAAATTGCAGAATGACACATTCAGTACAGAGTGGATTTTGCTTAATATTGAATTCACTTCCTCCCCACAAGAAAAAACTTTCTCATTTTTATAGTGATGATTTGAAATGGAACAAGCTGACTTAATTGACATCCTAACAGAAATCTGGCTCCCAAGCAGGCTGTTTGAAGCCTTAAGTATGTGTTTAAATTTAGTCAAACACCTGTGGGCTCAAAGCAGGGGCACCTGGGTAAAACTTAATGGATTGTGTTATTCAGGAGGTCAGTCTAGGTGGTCTAATAATTTAATTGTGCCACTTCCTGCAGCTCCCATTGGCTGGGAACGGCAAACCGCGGACACTGGGAGCTGAGGGGCTCTGTGCCTGCAGACGCTCCAAATAAACAAAACGTCCCAATCCGCCAGCGGCTTACCCTGACGGGCTGGAGCCAAAGTTTGCCACCCTCTGAAATATAGGGTCGGCTTATGAAATGGTCATACAATTTTTGCTATTTTTACCTAACCATCCTGGGGGTCAGCTTATAAACGAACGGGCTAATGAACGAGTATATACGGTACATTCTTCCATTTTACCAGCCCTCTTGCCCATATTTCTTTTGTATGTGCTCTCCCCAAATTGTACGAACAATCAAAAGCTCTTTCAACATATGCCTTGATTAAATTCATATTCTCCTAGAAAACTCAGCAGAAATCATAACAATTTGAGGCTCACTCTTATCTTAAGGATCCATTTTAATGACCACACACCTATCTCCTTTCCACTCTGATCCCCTTGCAGTGGCCAATAGCTGTCTTGGCTCATCAATAGAGTGTGGATCTTCAGGAACATGTGTCTCACCATCTCAGTGGTGCGATGGAGTGGCCCACTGTTCCAATGGTGAAGATGAAAACCGATGTGGTAAGTATTTCAAGTATGCAGAGGTAAAATTGTTCTTGGAAGCCTGTTGGTGACATCTCCTTCCTTAGCCCTTGTCTACATTAGAAAGTGGCACTAGCTTAGTTTAAGGTGTGACTTTAACCAATTTAGTTAAACCAGTGCAAACCCCTGTATGGACAGTCTTTTTTTGGTTTTAGAATGGCTTAATATCAGTTACCTTAAGTCCATTGCTAATCGAGTTGCTGGACTAAAATAACCCATACTTAAACCAAATCAAAACGTCCCGCACAGGATTTTGTGCCAGATCAGTTTAAATCACACCTTAAATTAAACTGGTGCAACTTTCTAATATAGACAAGGCACTAGAAATGTCTGCATTACCTATTGTGTAGCTGCTTTCTTACAACAATCTCAGGGGTGGTAGTGGTGGTGGTACTATCTGCTTGAGTTCAATGACATGGCTTGGCTCATTCTTATTAAACTTCCTTTACCACCAGCTCCCCTCACTTTTCAACCTCTCCCTAGCACGCCTCCCCCGTGAAAAAATCCACCTGTCTCATATTAGTGTGTGCCAGTCTAACAAAAGCAAAACAAAGCTGGAAGCTTACTACCGCCACCAAAAAGCTTCATCTTCCAAAGAATGCTTTACATAACTTTCAGTGTAGGAAGCTGTCTAACTCAGTGGTTCTCAAACTAGGGCTGCCGCTTATTCAGGGAAAGCCCCTGGCGGGCCGGGCCGGTTTGTTTACCTGCCGCGTCCGCAGGTTCGGCCAATTGTGGTTCGCTGCTCCAGGCCAATGGGGGCTGCGGGAAGCGGTGCGGGCTGAGGGATGTGCTGGCTGCCCTTCCCGCAGCCCCCATTGGCCTGGAGCGGCGAACCGTGGCCAGCGGGAGCTGCGATCGGCTGAACCTGCGGACGCGGCAGGTAAACAAATTGGCCCGGCCCTCCAGGGGCTTTCCCTGAACAAGCGGTGGACCAGCTTTGAGAACCACTGGTCTAACTGATTTAGTGACTTCAGCTGAAGAGATGGAGAGAGGGAGACTTTCATGATGAACTGGTTGTAGTCACCAGAGAATATTTGGTTGTAAATATCATTAATGTGTACACTCAAAAGCCACATCCATCTTTTTTTTAATATCTGTGTTCTGTAATACATGACTTCCAGAAAATGGTCTTGAAGAGGACAGACTGCTCCATTTGATCCTATCATTAAAGCTTGGGCAAGAAACAGTTTTCCTGTCCCATGAAAATTTTTGAGATTCCAAAGAAAGACCTTTGAAACAGACACCTTTCAAACTCTTGAGAGAAACAACTAGCTATCCAGCCCAGAATAGTCCACCTGGGAGGTAGGAGACCTGGGTTCAAGTCCCTGCTCCAATTTAGGCAGAACAGGGATTTAAACTAGAGTGCCTCGCATCCCAGTTAAGTACCCCAACTACTTAGGGTAGTGGTTATCCTCAGTCTCTTCTTGACCAGAGATTCCATCCTGGACTATTGAAACTGAACCTTTACTGGAAAAGTTTCAGTTTTAACTAACCAGAATTTTCTGACCCCAAAAAAGTGTTTTTTGTCAATAATAAAAAAAACCACACAATAATAATAATAATAATAAAAAAAACACACACCAAAAAACAACCCCCCCAACTAGCACATTACCTATACATGCTTTCGGAACTCTGCTCTTCTGACATAGTCTGCGTAGTACTGACACTTAGCTGATGATTTTTCCTGTTTGGTTGCATAATTGGGTCTCTTTACAGTAATATAGCTTATTCCTGCCATTATCTTGCTCTTGAACTTTTCATATTGAACTCTTTTCTGTCTTCCCTCTGTGACACACTATCTCTTCAAATCAGATACATAATAGGGTTTGACGGTATAGGGCAAGCTGTTCCATGTTAAAATCTTTGTTTTGTGATCTTTATACTAGTATAGGACATAATTTTCTTACCCTTTGATCAGCTTATCTGTTATTGCCAATCACTCAGGCTGAGGGTGGAGCATGGGAAAGAGTTGTGCTAATTCTAAAATGTTCATACAATAAAAAATGAACATTAAAATGTAAATACAACTTAAGGTAGTAACTCATTTGAATGGCTTTAGAAAAAGGAATTAAAATGATATGTAAAAATCCAGTACATGAAAACTTCATAAAAAGTGTGTCAAAATATAGCATCAACTGGAAGTTTTTCTCTAAAAGCAAAAAGTAATTTCAGGTGCTACACCTGTCTGTGGAGCCCGTGACAACTTTTGTGGTTTCACAATCACATTTTTTATTTATAGTTTTAAGAAAATGAATATACAGGAAAAAACCTGAAACTAACTATCCACAAAGTGCTGTCAAATGAAGAAGTAAACTGAAACAATATCCTTCTACCTTTTCTTTAATCTTGCAGCTCTAGTACTCTTAGAGCTTGCTTGTAAGAGTAGTAGGTGCAAAATACTTTTTAGGAATATGAAAATCATAGGCTTCGAACAGGATGGTCAGCAATGTTGTCTTCTTTGATTGCAGTTAGACTCTATGGACCAAATTTTATCCTAGAGGTCTATTCATCTATCAGCAAATCCTGGTATCCAGTATGCAAAGATGACTGGAATGAGAACTATGGAAAGATAGCTTGTAAAGACATGGGATACAATGTGTAAGTATAACAATCTAATTGTGAAAGCTGTACAGCCAGCACAACTGTTTCATTGGAGAGATAGCTCAGTGGTTTGAGCATTGGCCTGCTAAACCCAGGGTTGTGAGTTCAATTCTTGAGGGGGCCACTTAGGGATCTGGGGGAAAAATCTGTCTGGGGATTGGTCCTGCTTTGAGCAGGGGGTTGGACTAGATGGTCTCCTGAGGGCCCTTCCAACCCAGATATTCTATGATTACATTTTCCAAAGAATGGACACCTGCAGCAAAAACTCAGTTACTGCTTTTTCTGTTGCTAGTCTAATTTTGATGAATAGAAAACAGTCCCAGTTAAAACAAAAATCAGTAGGTGTTGCTGAATCAAAGTGACATTTCTTCAAAACCATGTAATGCATATGCCATATATAATAATTGTGGGATGTGTTTGTGCATCAATACAGGCACGCACACGCACAGTGCTTAGGGTCCTCTTGGACTGAGAGTGCTGTCTGAACTTAAAACCTTATAAAAAAAACCTAGTCATTGTGACCAATATTACATAGACAACCCTGACCTCTGGAGGACATTAAAGGTTTTATTGTGCTCTTTCACAAGAGCATTGACATTTAACCAGTTTCTGGACAAATTCCAACCACAGTAACTTATTTTTATCTACCTGAAATCCTCTGTAGCTATAATTACCTATGTTGTTGCTGTTGGGAGTGAGAGGTGGGGGGAGGGAAAGACTCACAAATGCAGATGGGCTGGTGGTGCTACATTTCTATTCATGAGGTGGTTGGAGTGATGGATTAGCCTGGTCAGAACTTGGCGATCTTCACCATGAAAAAGTGTTAGATGAAAGCAAGGTCTTATTTGATTGTAAAAGTGGACATAGCAAATAGTTACTTAGAAACTAAAATTTAATTCTGCCATGGTACAGCACCTTTGTGGTTCTTATGATATAGTATTCCATAATATTATTGTTCATGTTATACGCTTTAGATTGGTGGAAAGTTTTAGGTTACTAAAAGGAACTTTCTGATAGGATTTGAAATATCTGAGTTTCTTACTAAATATTTTATTTTATACAGAAATACTTATTACTCTAGTAAAGGAATAACACCTGAAAGGGGTTTTACAAGCTTTATGAGGTTGAATACAAGTGCTGGGAACATAGACCTATACAAAAAACTGTATAACAGGTATTTATATTTCATATAAGCATTTTTTATATTTGTTTACTTTTAACTGTTGGAAGCAAGGTGGCTTCCACCATCACCATGATGCAAACACCTCTGATGGGAATTATTAGAGCTGGACACATTTTTTTGCATAAAGTCTTTATCCGCAAAATATGCAGATTTGGTGACAGTGAAATATTTAATCAATTCATGTAGATTTTGCCAAATTGTTTTGGGTGGAGGGAAAAAACAAAGCAAAAAAGTGCCAATAAAATCAAAACATTTGTATGGGTGTTTTATTTTGTTTTTGTTTTGAAATCACTTTGTTTCAAAATTTCCTTTTAAAAAAAAATTAAATAATAAAATGGTCAAAATTTAAGTGCACCCATTTGTTTCAGGTCAAACAAAATATTTAATTTAACCCCAGACAAATTTTTGACTTTTTTTTTTTCAGACTTGCCAGTGAACCAAAAAATCCATTATCCACCCTGCTCTATTTCATTTTTTTAAAATGGGGGGAAGAGAAGTTCCTGTGGCTGATCACAATAACTGCTTTTCATTAAATTAAATCCATAACTTTTGAATAATTCCTGGCACTGTCTCTTTAAAGGTTATTTTTCAGTGCCCACTTAATAAAGCTTGATTTCTTGAGGACACCTGATTTTTCTCTCTCGCATTCAATCCTACACCATCCAAAAGACTGTTTCGGAGAAAACTCATGATGTTAGTTACTATATGAAAATTTGCGTTCATAGTGGTAACAACCATAAAATATTAAAAGACCCACAGCATTATTTTGGTATCACTTTTTTAGAGTTGTATTAATATGCATGTAGCAGAGTTAAAAAGACACCTTCTAGAGTGGCAGACCCCAAGTTAAACTACACCTCTACCTCGTTATAACACTGTCCTCGGGAGCCAAAAAAATCTTACCGTGTTATAGGTGAAACCGCATTATATCAAATTTGCTTTGATCCACCGGAGTGCGCAGCCCCGCCCCCCCGGAGCACTGCTTTACCGCGTTATATCCGAATTCGTGTTATATCGGGTCGCATTATATCGAGGTAGCGGTGTACTTTACAAAACATACATATGTTCTCATTTAAGTTCCCTGGTATGTGGGCAGCTGCACTTACAAAATTCACCAATTCCCTCCCCTTTTTATTTTTTAAAATATTGCTGTATGAAGGATTGAGGGCCACTCCACCCCATGAGTAATAGGGACTAGTGTGATCACACCTCTCTTCCACTGCCCTTCACCTCACTCTCTTCATTGTACTGATATACCTCACAGTTCTATGTTTCTGCCGGTTACAATCAGAGCTGCATGCTTCCTACTAATGGAGGAAACAGAAGTGAAGGTTGTGTGAGCACCGGCAGGACAGTCAGAGAGAGTGAGTGGGGGAAGGAGACAGGTGTGGCTGGATGGAGGGCACAATGTATTGCTGTGGCTGGAGAGTTGTCTCTGACTGCCATTTGCTAAGCAGAGTCTTTATATGCACTAACTATATGCACTATAAAGACTAACTGTATGCTGATTTATTTTAGTGACTCGTGTGTGTCTGGAGCAGTGGTATCTCTGCGTTGCACAAGTAAGTGTTTTCTGTTTCTTTAGAAGAATATAACTTTTTCATTTGTCTTGTTTCCAGTGACTGTCTAGAAAGCAGCTGTGCAAGGTTCTGCATGTTGAAGCACATCTTATTCTGATGGGATAGGCATCTTGGTTGTAGTTTAAATGTAGAATCTGGAGGGGGGGGGGGGGCTAGCAGATTGGGGGAGAGTTAGGGGAGACAAGCAGGATGTTGGATCCCGAATTTTCTTTGTCTAACTGTATTGTTGCTGGCTTTATCAGAACCTTTGAATAATCTGCCCAAGATTAAATTTATATAGAAATTGCCATATAAAAATCAGACCAGTAGGGCCATTTAATCCAGAATCCTGTTTGATGATGGCCAGTATCAAATGTTTTAGAGGCAAGTCCAAGGGTACGTCTACACTTACCTCCGGGTCCGACAGCAGGCAATCGGTGTTCTGGGATCGATCCCGGAAGTGCTCGCCGTCGACGCCGGTACTCCAGCTCAGCGAGAGGAGTACGCGGCATCGACGGGGGAGCCTGCCTGCAGCGTCTGGACCCGTGGTAAGTTCGGACTAAGGTACTTCGAATTCAGCTACGTTATTAACGTAGCTGAATTTGCGTACCTTAGTCCGAAGTGGGGGGGTAGTGTGGACCAGGCCCAAAAAACCCTGTAATGAGCAATTGAGGAATAACCTGCCCATAGTGTAAATTTTTTCATGAATCCCTGACAGTTAGTGAAACATTTATCCCTTCTAGCTTCTTTTATTCCTATCCTATCTGTGGATGTTCTCATTATCCCTAGTAATATTTATTCTCTGTGGCTCAGAGGGGAGAAAAGCGCTCTCCTCAGTTCTGCTTATGCCTAAGTGTAGTTTTCCCCTTACCTTTATGGTAAGGTACCTTGTTCTATATAAATAAGGGACATTTGATTATATAGTTTTGCCAGGTCAGTCTGCCATCCTGGCAAACATCTAGGGATAGATTCTTGTGTCTGTAGTAATGATACTTCATACCTGTTACGTCTTTTATATATTGTATGATAATATATATTGTATGATGGGGTTGTCTGCAATAGAGGAGGCTGAACATAACCCAGGAGATCCTTTCCAGTCCTATGTTCTTATATTTATCCCTACAGTTATACATAGAATCCAGAATGATTGGAATACGATGATGTCTGGCCTTTTAGCCTATACTTACGAGTGTGGGAGCTCTTTTTTTCTCCCTTGTGCAGGCTCTAGTACAGGAATGCTAGTATGTGTGACAGCGTGGTACAAATTCATATAGTTATGCAGTTCTTCTAAGCCCACCCCAATCGTCATCCTTCGGTCAGTCATTTACAAGTAATCCTGCATCCACCTCCTCCACATACCTTCTCCAAGTTTGATGGAAAGAAAGGTGGGAATGAAAAATTAAGCTAGTCCCATGTCATTCTGTTAGAGAAGTAACCTGGTGACTCCTCTTCATTAGTGAGATTTTTAAGGATGCAACTTGGAGACCAAGTACCTTGGGGGGTGGAGGAGGAGGGGAAATCTCTGAATTGTTATGTATTCTAGTGGTAAGCAGATAGCAACAGCTCATATAGACTTACATTCCAAAACAAACTCTGGGGGAAGAGGGTAAGCAATCCTACATACTGGGGGTATCCCTTACTTGGGTTTGTTTGTCTTCCATCTGAAATGCTGTTAGTTAAAAGGACCCACCTTTTCATTTCCCAACCAGAGATCAGCAACTACTTGCAATAGTTCACACTGCAAGAGCTGTGTAAGTGAGAATTGGGCCTTTAGTATGGAATTTTGAACCCATGAGTTTGTTAGACGGCTGATCCTGACTAATTTAGACACCCTGGCAGACAATTAAAAAAGCTACCAAATAAGACACCAAGAGTAGAGAAGCTATATGGGGGTAGGGATAGCTCAGTGGTTTGAGCATTGGCCTGCTAAACCCAGGGTTGTGAGTTCAATCCTTGAGGGGGCCACTTAGGGAAGCTGGGGCAAAAATCAGTACTTGGTCCTGCTAGTGAAGGCAGGGGCTGGACTCAATGACCTTTCAGGGTCCCTTCCAGTTCTATGAGATAGGTATACCCTCTAGTGGGTGGACCACCTAAGGAAGGTTACAGGTCTGCTACTGCCTCTGACCCTCTAATTCAGGCAGCAGAGGCTTATACTTCCAGAGCCAAAGGTCCTGGATTTAGGACTCCAAAGGTCTCTTCAAAGACCCATCCAGAGGGTCATGACACATTTTTGTTGATAAACTGCATTTAAAAGCTTCAGCCTCCAGAGTTCCAGTTTTCCACCTTGTTAACTGGTGGTGGTTTTTTAAATGGGAAAATCCCAACATAATTTTGAATTATCGTTATCCTGAGACTTGCAGCCAATAATAGTTGAAAACAATCTCTCTCCCACACACCCCATCTTTGTGGGTTTTTTTCAGAGTGTGGCTTATCCCGTAAAAATGCGAATCCTGCGGGCAGAATTGTGGGTGGCAGCGCTGCAGTGCTGAGGGACTGGCCGTGGCAGGTCAGCCTTCAAGTCCAAGGCTCCCATATATGTGGAGGCTCCATTATCACCCCTGAATGGATAGTGACAGCTGCTCACTGTGTAGAAGGGTAAGTCCTAAGCTACTGCATTCTGTCAATTGATTCCCCAAAGTGAGGGAATTCTGGTACTGCACAACATATACGGTTGAGTGTAGATTTTTGGGACGGTGGACATACTGACTTCAGGTTGTAGTGGAAGTCAAATCTAAGAGAACTCCTGGGTTTCAAACTGAATTGATCATTTTTTCCCCTCTTTTACATGCACATCTTGCACTGATTGTATGTGCATGTGGGGGGTGGGGAGAGACGATCTGGTTGTATGTTCTATGGTATTCTAACTTTTTACCATTTTAACCTTATTAAAGGAAAATCACTTTGTAAGAGGGTAGTTGGGAATTTGCTGTTTGCTTTCAATAGGAAGCATCTGTTTCCATTCATGACATGGGTGGGGCCTGCCCCCCCGCTCCACCCTCCCTTTTTTTAAAAATTGGACCTCCCTATATGGCATAGGGATGCAGATACACTTGAAGATACAGAGGACTTTGGGTAATTATGCTGATTTATTTAGGGAACAAAAACCTACACCAGAAAGCACAAAGCTAATTCCAGTTAAAACCATACAAAAGACTGGTTAAATCTGTTTTTCGATATACTTAATTAAAAAAAAAAAATCTATCTCAGAGGTGGGCAAACTACGGCCCGCGGGCCACATCCAGCCTGCGGGATCGTCCTGCCCGGCTCTTGAGCTCCCGGCCAGGAATGCTAGCCCCCAGCCCCTCCCCCTCAGCCTCAGTTCGCCATGCTGCCAGCGCTCTGGGTGGTGAGGCTGCGAGGTCCTGCCGGGCAGTATGGCCGCGAGAGCCGCCGGATGTAGTGTATTAAATTGCTCCCTGTAGGAATGTGCTACCTATGGAGCATCAGGACTGGCAGCCATAAGTAGTACACAGTAAGTAGCACATTCCTATGGGGAGCAATTTAATACACTACACCTGGGTAGGGAAGGCTGTGCCTCTCCAAACAGCCTAGCCCCCCCCCCCCCTCCCCCCCCCCCCCCCTCGGGACCCTACACCCTATCCAACCGCCCCCTGCTCCCTGTCCCCTGACTGCCCCGACCCTATCCACACCCACGCCCCCAGACAGGCCCCCCGGGACTCTCATGCCTATCCAACCCCCCCCATCCCTTACCCCCTCCCCCCCGAACCTCCACCCCATCCAACCGCCCCCTGCTCTCTGTCTGCCCCCTGGCACCCCCTACCCCTTATCTAACCCCCACGCTCCCCACCCTCTTACCTTGCGCTCAGAGCACCAGGACTGGCAGCCGTAAGTAGTACACCATAAGTAGCACATGCCTACGGGGAGCAATTTAATACACTACACCCAGCCCTCCATACAGTTTTGAAACCCCGATGTGGCCCTCAGGCCAAAAAGTTTGCCCACCCCTGATCTATATCATCACAACGGAAAATGTATGCTGATTTAGTCTATATTTGCCTGGATCAGCATTGCAGTTCATTTTAGTTCATACCATCTTTCCCTTAAGGCCTCTTGGAATCTCAGCACTAAATATTAAATATAGCATGGGCCCATATTGTAAATTCATGCTGTAAAAACCTGTCATTTTCTGTTGTCTTTCCCATCTTGTTCTGAGGGCTAGTGCCACATAGAGGAATAAGGCTCCGCATTGCAATGCCTAAATTTAGGTGCTCTGCCCCTAGTGGAGTTCTCAGTGCCCAGGTTCCCTATGCAATGCATGGGGAGTATTATGCATCTAGGAATGAGATCCACACAAAAGCAGCAAGCTGAGCTGCCTAAGCTAGCCAATAGGAAATGGTAAGGAGAGGGGTAGGTGCTAAGCCCTGCCTCTCTGAGGGACTTCAGTGCCTAACTTTGGGTCTGAGGAAAGCATCTATCTCCACTTGGGATTCATAGCTGAGAACTTTCCCTTGGAGTTAGGACTGACCTGGTTTAGGAGCCTCTCTGTGATGGTGTTTTTTTATACTTAGTAGCCCAGTGATTAGAGCACTCACCCAGAATGTTAGAGACTGGGTTCAGATCCTCCCTCTGCCAGATATGGAGAAGGGATTTGAACCTAGGTCTCCCACCTCCCAGGTGAGCATCCTAACCACTGTGCTGTTGGGTATATGTGACCATCATCTCTTCTGGCTGGGTTTTGTGTGAAGCCCAATCCAGTAAATATGTTCTAAGGTAGCCTCAGAGCACATCTATTGGATTGAACCCTGAAGGTGAGGTAGGTGGGGAATACCTAGTTTGTGAATCCCACTTGGACTTACATGCGACTTAAGTGCTGAACTGCTCTGCAGTGTCAGGATTGAGGTGACGGTGCGGATGCCCACTGTCGGAAATCTGAGTGTCTAGGAAATTTAAGGCACCTACAGCTTTCGGTGGGACCTGAGTAGGAGTTTTGAGGATCTAACATGAGAACATAGGAATGGCCATACTGGGTCAGACCAGTGGTCCATCTAGTCCCGTATCCTGTCTTCCAACAGTGGCCAATGCCAGGTGCTTCAGAGGGAGTGAACAGAACAGGGCAATTTACTGAGTGATGAGCCATTCCCTGTCATCCAGTTCCAGCTTTTAGCAGTCGGAGCATGGGGTTGTATCCCTGAGCATCTTGGCTAACAGCCATTGATTGATCTACCCTGCATAAACTCATCTAATTCTTTTTTGAACCCAGTTATACTATTGGCTTTCACAACATCCCCGACAACAAGTTTGGTTGTGCGTTGTGTGAAGAAGTAATTCATTGTTTGTTTTTTAAACTTGCTGCCTATTAATTTCATTAGTTGACACCTAGTAAATAACACTTCCTTATACACTTTCTCCACACCATTCATGATTTTACAGACCTCTATCACATCCCCCCTCAGTCGTCTCTTTTTCCAAGCTGAACACTACCAATCTTTTTAATCTCTCCTTATATGGAAGCTGTTCCATACACCCTACTCTGCATTTTGTTGGCCCGTCACCCAGTTTTGTGAGATCTCTTTGTACTCTTTGCAGTCTGCTTTGGACTTAACTATCGTGAGTAATTTTGTATTGTCTGCAAACTTTGCTACCTCACTGATTTATTAATATGATGAACAACACAAGTCGCAGTGCAGATCCTTGAGGGACCCTGCTGTTTACCTCTCCCTACTATGAAAACTCATCATTTATTCCTACCCTTTGTTTAACTACTTACTGATCCATGAGAGGACCTTCCCTCTTATCCCATGACTGCTTACTTTCCTGAAGAGCCTTTGGTGTGGGACCTTGTCAAAGGCTTTCTGAAAGTCCAAGTACACTGTATCCACTGGATCATCCGTGTCCACATGTTGGACACCTGCAGACAATTCTGATAGATTGGTGAGGCACAATTTCCCTTTACAGAAGATGTGTTGACTCTTCCCCAACAATCATGGTCATCTGTGTCTGATAATTCTGTTCTTTACTATAGTTCCAACCAATTTGCCTGAGGCTAAAGCTATGCTTACCATCCTATAATTGCTGTGATCACCTCTGGAGCCTTTTTTAAAAATCAGCATCACATTAGCTATCCACAAATCGTCTGGTACAAAGGCTGATTTAAGTGATAGGTTACATATCACAGTTATTCTGCAATTTCTTATTTGAGTTGCTTCAGAACTCTTGGGTGAATACCATCTGGTCCTGGTGATATTTACTGTTTCATTTATGAATTTTGTTGTTCCAAAATCTCCTCTTGATATCTCAGTCTGGGTTTGTCTTTTAGGTTTGTCACCTAAAAAGAATGGCTCAGATATGGGAGTCTCCCTCTAATCCTCTGCAGTGAAGACAGGTGCAAATAGTTCATTTAGCTTCTTTGCAATGGCCTTGTCTTCCTTGAGTGCTCTTTTAGCACCTTAATTGTCCAATGGCTCCACTGATTGTTAGGCAGGCTTCCTGCTTCTGATGTACTTAACATTTTTTACTGTTAGTTTTTGTGTCTTTAGTTAGTTGCTCTTCCAATTCTTTTTTTGGCCTGCCTAATTATACTTGACTTGTCAGAGTTTGTTCCTTTCTATTTTCCTCAGTTGGATTTGACTTTCAATTTTTTTAAAGGATGTCTTTTTCTCTCTGTTGATATGCCATGTTGTTGTTTTTTTGTTCCTTTTTCTGTGTTTTTTTTTTAATTTTTATTTAGGGTATACATATAGTTTGAGCCTCTATTATGGTGTTTTTAAAAAGTTTCCATGCAGCTTGCAGGCATTTCCCTCTTGTGACTGTTCCTTTTAATTTTCATTTAACTAGCCTCCTAGCCCCCCCCCCCCCACCCCCCCAAAGATGTTAAATTAACAACCATAATGTAATTCATTACCTCTTAGACCAGATCCTGTGCTCCACTAAAACAAGAATTGCCTCTCCTCTTGTGGGTTCCAGGATTAGCTGCTCCAAGAAGCAGTCATTTAAGGTGTCAAGAAACTTTATCTCTTCATCCCGTCATGAGGTGATCTGTACCCAATCAACATGGGGATAATTGAAATCCCCCATTATTATTGGGTTTTCTGTTTTTGCAGTTTGTCTAACTTCCCTGAGCATTTCACAATCACCATCACCATCCTGGTAAGGGGGTGGGTAGTATATTCCTACTGCTATACTCTTATTGTTCAAGCATGGAATTTCTGTCTATAGAGATTCTGTGGTACAGTTTGATTAATTTAAGATTGGAACTATCTTTCAATCTATGCTTTCGTTCACATATAGTGTCACTCCCCCACCAGTGCGACCTACCCTGTCATTCCTATATATTTTGTACCCTGTGCCCCTTAGATTATCATTGTTCCACCAAGTTTCTGGGATGCCCATTATGTCAAAATCCTCACTTTAATATCAGGAACTCAAGTTCACCCATCTTAGTATTTAGACTTCTTGCATTTGTATACAAGCACTTATAAAAATTGTCAACATTTGGTTGTCTGCCTTCATGTGATGCAGTTAAATGGGACTCTTTTTCATTTTCTTTCTCTTCAGTTCCTATCTGTCCTTTATCAATGTCTATCCTCTCCTCTTTGCTTGGATATAGGGTATCTATTCCCTTTAATAAATCCTCCCCTATGGGATGTATCTGTCTGAACCTTGTGCTCCTTTGCACCTGTCGGCTTTCCCCCAGCCCTTAGTTTAAAAACTCCTCTATAGCCTTTTTAATTTTGCATGCTAGCAGTCTGGTTCCGTATTGGTTTAGGTGGAGCCCATCCCTTCTGTGTAGGCTTGCCTTTCCCAAAAGGTCCCTCACTTCCTACTAAATATAAATTCCTCCTCTGAACACCATCATCGCATCCATGCACTGACCCCCTGCAGTTCTTGCTGTCTAACTGGTCCTGCATGTGGAACTGAAAGCATTTCAGAGAATGCTACCATGGAGGTCCTGGACTTTAATCTCTTTCCTAGCAGCCTAAATTTGGCCCCCAGGACCTCTCGCCTATCCTTCCTTATGTCATTGGTACCTTCATGTATCACTGCCAACGGCTCCTCCTCAGCCCTGCACATAAGTCTATCTAGATGTCTTGAGAGGTCCGCAGCCTTTGCTCCAAGCAAGCAGTTCACTCTGCAGTTCTCCTGGTCATCACAAACCCAACTATCTGTATTTCTAATAATTGAATCCCCCATTACTATTGCCTGTCTCTTCCTAATAACTGGGGTTCCCTCCCCCAGAACTACATTTTGGTAGTTAGGCCCCCTTGTGAATCCCATCATTGTGATCTGCTGTCTTCAGGGTCAGTCATTGAAATGGCACCAAGACTAAAAAAATGTGACTGTCTCTTTCTTATATTGTATGTCTACATCTTCACATTGTGGGTAAATATGGAATGTCTGTGCCAGGATTTCCGTACTCTTTGGGCTTGTCTACGTTGCCTGCTGGATCGAGGGGCAGTGATCGATCCAGCGGGGGTCGATTTATCGCGTCTAGTCTAGACGCGATAAATTGACTGCTGAGCACTCTCCCGTGTCAACTCTGGTACTCCACCAGGGCGAGAGGTGCAGGCAGAGTCGACGGGAGAGCGTCAGCCGTCAACTTACCACAGTGAAGACACCACGGTAAGTAGATCTAAGTACGTCGACTTCAGCTAAGTTATTCACGTAGCTGAAGTTGCTTAACTTAGATCGATCCCTCCTCCCCCCAGTGTAGACCAGGTCTTTGTTTCTTCTCTCACTACCATCTCCCTTGTGAACACTGGTTTTCCCAGCTTCATTGCCACATATAGATTAAATGTATTAACATTCTTCTTGCTGTTATTTTGCCAACTGAAGGAGGATTGGGAACAATAGGTATCTATTGTTTACCACTCTCTTAGGATGTAATAGTTCAATGTTTGTGCTTATCCATTCACAGTAAAAAGTCAATGAGATCTGAAATCATTTGACTGCTGCAGGAGAAAGTATATGGGGCTCTGCTTAATACAGAAGCAAATAATCTAACCTTATTTTACTCTCCAGACAGTTTTCTTCTCCATACTACTGGAGAGTGTATGCTGGGATTCTGAAGCAAACGGAAACGCGCTACGGAAGTGGATCCAGAGTGGAGAAAATAATTTCCCACCCAAATTATGATTCAGATACTAAAGACAATGACGTTGCCCTGATGAAGTTACAGACACCGCTGACTATTACTGGTAGGTATTCTCTTGTTGTGTGCTTAAGCCCAAAAACTCAGCTGCAGAAATTGCCCACCCCCTTTTATTTATTTTTTAAATTGTGTCAGCCGTTAAAGAGGAAGGGCTTGCTCTGCAGACACTTAGAAAACATGAGAAAAATACAAAGCATGGGAAGATATTTTAATAACATGTAGTCAGCGAGCCAGGATTGAACATTAAGCTGCTACAAAATAGAAACTGTAATAAAACGTGCTTTTTTTAATTGGGTGTCAATTTATCAGCTATCAGAGGTCTGCAGGTATGGCAGGGATGTCATGTCAGCACTGCCCTCTTCAAAGGACACTTAAATGACCTGCCAATTCTACTGGAACCCAGGATTCTTCATGAATGAGAAATGAAATCCTTGCTGTGTGTTGATGACCTGGTCATTCTATTAACTACCCATAGTGGCCTTCTAGAGAGCCTATACATGCAAGGAATATACTGCAACATATGGGACTTACACATCAAATGCGACGAGTGATCTTTTTATGAAAAGAGGAGGTACATAAGGAAACACTCTAAATCCAGTGTGTGTGTACCACATAATCCATTCATCAGGGATTTTCAGACTAGCTATAACTCCTAGTGTCCTCTCCATCAAAACAGCATACAGTTCTTCCACTATAAAGCACTTGAAAATGAACTACCAAAATCAAACACATAGTCCATTCTGGTGCACATAACTCCCAGGCCCTGCTACTAACTTCTGTACCTTGCCCTAAGCTGAATAGTGCACAATGGAACAAAACCTAAAACAGTTTCCAGAAAGAAGCAAAACTATTTCAGACCCCGGAAGAGTGTGCAAAACTGAGGTGGGCTCTTTTTGAAATGAAGTGCAGTGGCCAAACTAGAAGTGAAAACTGGAAGACAAGGCATAGTGCAAACCCAGAGAGAGATGGCAGAGAGGATGCTCTCTACTCCAGTGCCCCAAATTTGAAGGCATTCAAGAGACTTTTCAAATTACCTGAAGTCCTAAGACTTTCTAATAAGATGCAATGAAGAAAAACAACGTATAGTGCTTGGAGAAATGGCAAAAAATAGCATGAAGAAAACTCCCCCTTGCTGCTGGTGATAGGCAAGTGTGTCTGTTCAATAGGAATAGCATGAGCCCTACATGCTAAGGGGCAAACAAAGGTTTGTTTAACAAATATTTTACTGCTAGTTTGCATGCTGTGCACAACCTATTTGGAATCTGTGGAAGAAGCAGCATGCTAATTTCAATAGGACTTTGCATGGAAAGTACACAATGCTCATGTGAATTAAGCATTCTTGACCAATGTTTGCCCTCAGTCTGTGTCCTAGTGGATCAGTGTCTCATCTCCATGTCTTGCTCCCTCTGCCCCCTTCTCTCCTACTCACTCTCCCCCCCCCCCCCCCCGAAAATAAACCCTGTCAAAACAGTTGGCATTAACTTGTTAATTAAATGTTACTTGAGTGATGGAGAGGGAACTAACCTCCCTCTGAATCCCCAGAGGCTGAAACTTTAGGTCAAGGCTTAGAAACATTTGGAAGCCTACACTCCTTCTACTCATCCTGTACTTCTTGTGGATAAAGAGGTCTTCAGTGCTCTCAGGCTGGCAGCTTTTATGACCACAATACTTGCTTAGATGCTAGGAAGCTAAATGGACAGGGGAGGAGCCTTTATATTTAAAAGCGCTAGCGTGTACTTGGAGTTCCTAGTATTCAGTGTAGCATGGGTCTCCTCTTGGGTGGAAGACCCTCTAATAGATTTTCTTTTTTTTAATTTTTTTATTTATGTCCTCTTACTTAGGCTTGCTAATCACCAGTATATTCTTACTTCACAGACACTGTAGCACCTGTTTGTTTGCCTAACCCTGGAATGATGTTCCAACCTGATCAACAGTGCTGGATATCTGGATGGGGAGCAGAATACCAAGGGGGTGAGACTTTTAATATACTTGATGGCAGGAGAGAGATCACTTGATCATTGCCTGTTAGGTTCACTCCCTCTGGGGCACTGGGCATTGGCCACTGTCGGCAGACAGGATGTTGGGCTGGATGGACCCTTGGTCTGACCCAGGATGGCTATTCTTATGTTGTTCAGGATAATGTATTGTCATCTTCAAACTGGTTTTTAATATCTGTGTTCTATTTTTAATCAAATGTCCGTGTTTATGCCAAGGCATTGCTGACTGGTTTTTGATCTTGTGCACCACTGAAAGCAAATTTAGCTGCTGGGATTTGTAACTTTTACACATGACAATCTGAGACCTATTCTAACTTCATTTTTGTGTGTGTGCATGTTTCAACTTTAGGTAAAACTTCAGATGTCTTGAATGCCGTAATGGTGCCTTTAATAGAACGTTCTATGTGTAATTCTGCCAAATTCTATAATGGCTTAGTTTTGCCTACCATGATATGTGCTGGGTATCTGGAAGGAGGAAAGGATTCCTGCCAGGTAATAATCTGTGTTTATTTTAGCTCTTAAAGATTAATTTTTTGATTATTCTAACACTTGCTGGAGAGGATATTTAAAATGCTAGTGACTATGACAGGTCTAGTTAAATAGACAAGTGACTGTCTTTAGAGCATTGCAGTCGGGCTTCCAGTTTTCATCATGCGGAGAGAACTGCTAGAGGTAGGGCTGATAGTTGGATTCTCCCATCCCAGTTTCTCAGTCTTCGATGCCAGTATCGACTTGTTGCTAAATTTGTGGAAAGTGCTAGCCCCTCATTTTCAAATGCAAATCTGTAACAATTTCATGGGAACACTGAAAATGAGTGACTTTTCACAAATTTAGCAACACTTTTCTCATGCTTTTGAGAAAAGGGAAAACCAGTCTCTCCCACCCTTAATACGCAGCCAACAATATATGAATTCTTGCGTTTTTGGTGGGTAAGCTAACTGTGTAGTACTGTAACTGAGGTAGCCCTTGTTTTAGATCATTTGCTTTTTAAACTGGGGCGTGGCCTCCCAGGGTTGGGGATGGGGCAGAACAAGGTTATCGGGGAGGCAAGGACCTGGCTGGTTAAGAATTGTCTTGTTTCTTCAAAACATCATTGATAAAATAATAATTTTTTCCAATAGCTGAGCCTCCTGCTCAGCTCCTGCTGCCAGGCTGAAATAACAAGGAGGAGGGAGGGATGGACTGAGAGGGCATGGCCTCGCCCCGTGCAGGAGGGGTGGGGTGGGTGATTGCAGCTCTCTGGCCTCTCCTTGGGAGGTAGTTCCTCTCTGCCCACATAGGCTCTTACACATGTGTGCTGGGGATCATGCTAAGGCCAGAGGAGCCTGCAGCCTGTTAGTGATTCTGGCGGGGACACAAGGAGAGCGCACAGCATGACTGGCTGTGTCCTGCTGAGGCTGCCTGCCTAAAATGTGTCCTGTGCAGGGGAGGCTTGTGGGTTGGGGTCCTGGACCCTAGGTGTCCATGGAATACTGTTTCTTAGAAAGAGGAGGGCATGCTTGGACATGAATCTCCACAGGGGATTGCAGCAAAAAAAGTTTGGGAACCTCTGTTTTACATGCAGTGTGGAAGCAATACTCAGTGGTTTTTTTTTTTTTTTTTTTTTTTTTATTGTTCCCTCTGAGACTTGGCTACAGTGTTTGAATCTGTATTTATCAGCTCTTTCCAATGGGCACGGTCACTAATAGCATGCTCGTGGACTCGTGTTTTTGCCCAGGGTGACAGTGGAGGTCCGTTAGTAACTGAGAAAAACTCCGTGTGGTGGCTAGTTGGTGACACAAGCTGGGGAACTGGCTGTGCCAGTCGCAGAAGACCTGGAGTTTATGGAAATATGACTATGTTCACCGACTGGATTTACAGAAATATGCAGGTAAAATATATATTCATGCTCTTTCTTCAACATTTTATACAAGCTTATAGAGTTTAAACTTTAAGGCCAGAAGGGACCATTGTGATCATCTACTCTGACCACCTGCACGTTGCAGGCCACAGAACCTCACCCACCCACCCCTGTAATAGACCCCTAACCTATGGCTGAGTTACTGAAGTCCTCAAATCATGATTTAAAGACTTTGAGTTAGAGAACCCCCACTATTTATTATTCCAAATCCCCATTATTCATATTATGAAAAGTAACATCACATTTTTAATGACCTTGAGAACCATTAGCTGACTCTATCATATCAAGTAATTGAGAAAACTGAGACATATGATACTCACCACTTTTTTTCTTTTCTTTTTTTTTTAAACAGGCAAATAGATGATCTTGCTGAATCATTTTCAAGAACAATCCTAAATGGAGCTATGGCTTTCTTGGCTACCTTATTATGTACTTTTAAAAAGAATTTCTAGATCCTTACAATTTTTTTTACTACTTGCAAATAACCTGAAGTTTTGCACACTCAGTTCTGTGCTGGCTGCAGTGACTGATCTATTTAATGAAGTAGAAGACTCACAACAAGCACCTTTCTCATTATGGTGCCTGGTGGCACAAAGTTGCTGTCAACTGGTAACTGACATGTTCCTTTAGTTTTGTAGCTTCCAAGTTTATAGGGTTTTCTATAATCACATTTGTAATTGAAATAATCCCTGTTTCAATTACAAGCAGGGTGGTTTGACACTTGCTTTACTGGCATAATTTAATTTAAATGTAAGTAGTGGTGTAAATCTGAATCTCTGGGGTCCTAGTTGGTGACTTAAAGAGGAAAACACATGGTGAATGTCAGTCTGGGCATTATAGGTAAAGGGAAGCTGTTTTCGTGCATTGGAGAGTAGAGGCAGGGAGAGATGTCTTGGCATATATTCAGGTGGTTAAAAATCCTCAGGATCTTTACAGGTGCGGTAACAGCCAGGGTGATCTCTTTGGATTTACCCCAACATAAATAGGATCAGCATTTAGCTCAGTAATTGAAAATGTGCCATTGTTCTTCACGGTTACCCTTCCTGGGTTCCACATCTAGCATGCAGGAGAAATACAGTAACTACTGTTCTAAAGCTAGTCAGCACAAGTAGGCTGCTGAGAACAGCTCTTCTGGCTTGTAGCAGGACACTGTGTACCAGTAGCATGCTCAGTTTTATGAGCTGGGAGCTGCTAACTGATTCCAAGAACTCTCCCCTCTGAAATGCAAAGAACAAAGCTTTGCTGTGCGGTTGCCTTCCATGTAGTCATTCTCTGTGATCAAAGTGTAGGTACGGAAAGCTGGGAAAGTGTGGAAATCAGAGATGCAAAAAAAACCCATTTCCACCAAACACATGACTACCTCAGTTTTAAAGTAATCTGGCTTTTAATTCCATAGAAAGTTCTCTGTACCTGCCCATGTAGCGATTTTAGCAGGAGACCAATCACTTAAGCTTTTTTAAAAAAACAAAACAAAACACAAAGTCACTAACCATTCACATAAGTCTCATGATTTTAATGTTCTAGGAGAGGAAAAATAAAATGCTGTAGTTCTAGATGTGTACAAAAAGACACTGGTATGGTGCTGACAAATTGACCAAAAGTAATGAGACTCAGTACGTCCCTTCTCCTGCTTTATGTGCTCTCCAATTCTAATGGAGTGAAATGACCAAGTTTGCTGTTACTTAATGGTACCTTAATTCCCAAAGCTTGAGTTGGAGAAATTTCCACTTCAGTTTTGGAACCACAATCTGTTATATATCAGAGTGCCACTTAAATAATATTTTAAAAATGGTTGTAAAGGCTAGAATGTTCAGGGGGACACAAAAGCCATAATGAGTCACTTTCTATAGGAATGACAAATCTCTTCAGGGGAATGACTTTTTTTAAAATAGCAATGTATACCAAAACAAGACAAAATTTTCTTAAGAAAACAAATGCAGTTGTCTTGCACATAAGTGGTACAACTAATAAATCTTTTACAAATCATTTCTCCTTGCAGTAATTTATTACAGCATTTCTACCTCTCTCAATCTTTTTGTTTTGACTGAAAGTCTATAAAGCACCTTGAGGGCCTCAGAGATAAAGGATACTCTTCTGATTTAAGCACAAGATGGGGCACCTAAGGGAGCTGGTTTTTTCTCCAACCTTTCAGCAAGCTTCCTGGCAGTCCTTTAAACAGGTTACTTGGCTTGACTTTCAGAAGTGCTGACTACCCCCTTGTCATAACTATGAAGGGAAGGGTAACAGCTCTCTGTGTACAGAGAC